TCCAATTGCATTATTGCCTTCCACTGCAGACATTAGATTCTCAATTTTCTGTCTTCTCATCCAATCCATGACACTCGCACGCTAATAGATAGTTGTAGTCATCATGTTGAATAATGAAGCCAAATTGCGGATGTGTGGGCCAAGAAATAGTATCATCTTTTGCCAATTATTATTGCAACTAGTTTAACATGGATCTGTGTAGGATATGGAACAAGAAAATGGGTATTGAAGGTAAAATATGGACGGACGCCAAAAAGATCCGTAACACATCAAACTTGCATTTTTGATTTATTTGGCATAATTTTAAGTGGAAACCATTCGTTCATTTTGAAATATCAAAGTTGATTCATGTTCTCCTCCATAAAAATTTCGAAATCAGATATTTTTTTGCCAAAAATAATAATCGGGTGATTGTGTTCAAATACAGTTATAGTTCGTCAGTGTAGAAACTTAGTTTTCTATTTCTACTAGTTTTCAATTGCATCCTGAAAAACAGACGTTTAATGAAACCTCACGCACTAACAATGAACAAGCAAATCTGTTTAAAGAAAATTGTGTTTGGATAGACTCTTGATTGTTGTTCCGTTATCGAATTTACTCATCAACTCTCTTTCTTTCGCATATATTTATTTCTATTTTGTTCTTAAATATACATTATATTCTACCAAACTTTCTAAGAATTTATACCTTTAATTACATCGTTCACATAATTAATGGATTCTTGATGTGGCATCATTTGACATTAAGCCCATATTTGGTTCAGTTTAAAAAGTAGATTAAAATCTAAGTTATAATCAATAGGTAATTTGATCACTCGCCATAGCCTTTCAATCCTTTCAATCGCAAATTCTATCAACTTTTTTTTTAAAACCAAACCGGTGTTAAATTGCCACATGGATGCTATTGAGAAAACGAAAATGAAAGAAACTGAAAAACTAAAAGGATAGAACCTGCTTTGAAATGAAACTGAAAACGAAAATGATAGAGCATGCTGGAATGCTGGGAAGAAGATGAAAATGATATTCAATCAACTTGAGGATTACAATGCATATAGTAGCTCTATTTATAGAGAAAATTCTAACGATCTAACAAACTAAGAAGAATCTAGAATAGGCTAGAATGAGGTGCTGAAATGAATCTGGAAGGAGCTGATTGGAAATGTGATCTGTTGAAAAGTTGTTGCACGTGCTAGTAAGCTGGTGAGGTTTCCGAGCTGCTGATCTACTAGAAGAAGTTGCAATTCCAACAGATGCCTACGTGGACAACGATCAACAAGCTAATACTCGACTAATTTTTAGCTTAATTGTCATATTCTTTTTGCACGATATTCTCACAGTCAAAAAATTTGAAAACGGATTCCTGTTATGGCATCATTTGATGTTAAAATTACGATCTACAATGACCACTTGCACAAAGTTGCTAGTTTTATTTAAAAATCGTGTTTCAGGCACGAGCTCAATAACAAATCTGTGAAAAATAGCACTGGGCATTTCAAAATGAAAATGGGGATCAGAAAGCATCAGAATCCAGAAGGGCTCGTCGTGTGAAGGTTTAAAAAGAAAAATGGGCCCCTTTTGATTTAATAGGATATCCTTTTGGCAGACCAAGGGAATCATGTGGACTCTTACAAATATAGATTTGACGAAATTATGCCACGTACCTATCTTTTAATAAATATTTAGAATATATTATGCAACTTTTTAAATCATAATTACTGTTTTTATCTAATAAAATAGGAATGTAAAAAACCAACCGAATCATACAGGCTATTCATCACTTATTTTATTCCAACAAACGCATCCTTAAATTACGCTTCAACAAATACATCCTTAACATGTCAAATTTATCACAAAATTCCTAAAATTGTGTCATTTCGTATTTCAGACTAAAATCTCCACCAAATCGCCTCCCCCTCGAATCGCCCACCAAGAAATTCCCAAAACCCACTCACCAATTCGCAAAAAGTAATACACACCATATCACACATATCCACCATTTAATTCTCATTTTTTTCGTTGATTAGGGATTTATCATTTTTTTTAATTGCTTATTCAATTTAGGAAATAGTATTAATGGAGAGCGTGAAATCAGGCTGAATTCAAAAAAAAAAAAAGATCAATTACAGAATTTGGTGGATGATCTATTTTTAGAAGGAAGTACATGTAAACATATTTCATATGTCATCTAATATTTTTTATTTTAATAATGTAACATAATAAATTATGAAATCTTTTTTTTCATAATGATGCATATATGAAAATTTTCGGATAGATTTAGATTTAGATTGCAAAAATATAAAAATGGTTGATGCTCATTTTAAGCCTACGTTTGGCAAAATTTATAGTATATCATTTATAAATATTCAAACTTCGTGTTCAATCATACATTCCAGTGGATCCATAAGTATTATTCATTTATTCATTACTCGTTTTTATTTATTTATAAATTAAACCGTTTATAAATTATTCTCAAAAAGAGTAAATATCTGGAAAAAAAATGGTTTTTAAACAATTTTAGAGAAGCAAGAGAGGAATGTCCCGATTTTCCGTTGTGTGTTGCTCTTCGAGAAATTACGAAGAGTGTGGATTGGAGGAGAAGAAAACGGTATGCGCAAGCGTTCAGTGTACGTCGATCGTTCTTCAAAATAACATTATTCAAAACAGTAGTTTTCCAAAAAATGGCTACCAAACAGGAGTCTTATGTTGGCAGTTAGCCAGAAAAGCATAGCCAAGTCTGTTCAATCTCAGGCCTTTGAATGTAAACCCATGCAGTGCTTTCTTGTGAAAGTAAANTCTCTCTCTCTCTCTCTCTCTCTCTCTCTCTCTCTCTCTCTCGCGGTCTCCCTTTTCCTCCTCCTTGCAGTATAATACACGTACACAAGCAGGGACGGACCCAGCACCTGGCCAGCCCCCGCGGCCGCCCGTGCTGGGTCGACTGGATCTTCTTCAGGTGGGGTCTGCCGGAGCTTCTTCAGGTAAGGTCCGCCGGGTAGAAGAGGAGAGGAATGAAGAAGACTGATTTTTTTTTTACTTGTTTAACGTTTGGGCTTTTTTAAAAATAAAAAATAAAAAATAAAGGCCTAGCCGGTAGCCGGGCCAGCCCAGTCCATGGCCATGGGTTTTGCTTGCAAGTTGCCAAATCCATCAATCCCTAAATTGAAACCGGCAGGCAGAGAACGAGGAGCCGATGAGGGAGACGAGACGAGCACAGGAAATACACGAAGCATCTGTGGTGATTTCGTATGTCATGAGTATGCTCTTTGTTCGGATTAAGATCCCAGGTTATCTCCGTTGGGTTACTTTTACATTCTGTGTTTTGCCTTTTCTTAATTCAACACCTTCCCCTTAGACATATGAGTTGGAAGAAAAAGAATTAATTATGGGACAATAGTGATTATATGCTAGATTGTGTTATTGTATTTGTTGGTTGTTCTTAGTTTTCTTTGGTTTGTTAGGCAATAATAATAATAATCAGCGTGGTTCCATTTCACATAAGGAAACTCGTGAAAATTTGAACTATAGTTTTTATCCATGGTCATTTTCAATCTTAATAGTGCAATGCAGTAGCCTTGGATTTATTTTTGTGTACTTCAGTTACAAGGGATCGAGTCTGGTTGAATTTTTGGTGGTATAATGAAGGATGTGGAAATACCGAAGTGGCTTAAAGGATTGGCAATGGCACCTGAATTCCGCCCAACGGACACGGAATTTGCAGACCCAATTGCGTATATATCCAAAATAGAGAAAGAAGCTAGTGCTTTTGGAATATGTAAAATAATTCTGCCATTGCCCAAACCTTAAAAAAAGTATGTTCTTTGTAATTTGAATAGGTCCCTTTCCAAGTGCTCGGAACTGGGTTCGGATCTAAATCTCATGTCAAAAACAGATAATGTTGATAGGGGAAATTGTAATGGTGGGGTGAGTAGGGCGGTTTTCACTACTAGGCACCAAGAATTGGGTAGCGAGAAAGGGAGAAGGGTGAAGGGGGTGGGAGGTCAAGTATCCGGAGCTCAAAAGCAAGTTTGGCAAAGTTGGGAGGTTTACGACGGGTAAAGCTGTTGACCAGGCTGCGCAGGTGCTTTGCTGCACAGTTGTGGTCCTCGGAATTCAACGTTGATAGGTCAATGTCCGCCCGGGCTGAATTTCAGCGCTGGGTCCGTCCCTGTACACAAGTTATCATATATTTTCATCTTTTGGAAGCAAATATCAAACTGTGATCGGTGCTTTGGGTGGAACAAAGGGTTTCATAGCATTAGCCCGACCATTGGCTATTTTCATCTGAAGAATTTCAAGGTAGGATACATATATGTGCAAATGGCTTGTCCTTTATATACTATTTTGTAACGTTCTACATGAAATGTTAATCGACATATGGGTCGTACATCGAAATAAAATGCGACATTCCTCTGGACTTTTGGAAAGACACTGCAAGACGTATTAGAGAACTCGATTGGTCACTGATTGCTCTTAGCCCTTATCTGGGAGCAATTGTTACCGAATTTTGATCAAAAAAATTAACCACTACGCAGAATATGGTCACATACAACCTAACATGAATTGACTCTCTCTCTCCAAATCATGCACGGGTAGTGCTATGTGTAAACAATCTTTTACGCCCCTCTCGCATAGAGGGGGGGCCCACACATAATAAAATATTTGTGGACCCCCTCCATGTGATGGGGGTGTAAAAGATTATGTACACCACAAGGTGTACACATACAATAGTCATTTTTGATAATATCTCTATACAATCCCACTCAAAAGTGATGACTGTCCAACCCTATACTGAGTAACGGTTGAATTGTTGATTAGAATTTTTAAACAATTGATCCTAGACATACGCTTGATGACATGGTGGTATAGAATATCATAAGTTACTGTTATTATAATATTGTTTTGGAATTGCACGTATCCTACTAAGTGTACGAAAAGTCATCACTCCTTCATTTACAAAATTTTAGGTTAGTCTAGGTCCTGAGAATCTGTGGCTGAACAGAGGAATAGGCTTGCCAAGGGACTACCAAGTGACTTTTGCAATAAACTAGTCAACGTTAAGCGTGTATGAAATGCTTTATAAGTGTAGTAAAAGTAATATTTGAATATATCTGAATGTTAATTAATTTATAATTAATACCAAAAAATATATACATAACAATCAATATTAAATCATTTATTTAATTTTCAATTAAGTAAAAATGGAACATTAATTACATATATAGATGTAAATAATGAAATGCATTCTTGAATTCTAATTGACTCATAATTAGAATTAATAACATTGAAATACATTGAATATTAATGTTAATTAATTAAGAATTAATAATAGAAAATTCATACATTAATGAAGGCACACAGGTGAAATGAGCCCCCGTTTGTTTCTCATTATTTGTCAACAAGAATTAAATTTTCTACCCTTTTTTTCCAACACGTGGGTCCCATTGTGAGATAAAAGGTCAAAAAAATAAGAAATTTAAATTTAAATTAGCATTGAAATTTTATATGTCCATAATAAATAATAGAATAAGTTTTAACCTTATTAAAAGAATTCTTAGAATAATAAAGGGTTTTAGAGATCATTTTAAAGATTATTAAATTTCTGTTAGCTAGATTTTTGTTCGCTCATAGTAGCACACCCCCTAATTGGTATCATACCAATAGATCTATAAAGAGCATAAAGAATAAAGAAAAATTATAATAAAAATCACGGAAGTTACAATTATTAAAAAGATTGGTATTATAAGTTAGAAGAAAAACAAGGAAGTTCCATATTTTTAGAACTCATTCCTAAAAAATTAAAAATAACATTAATTATAATTAAAGAATTACCTAGATAAATAAGTGAACAAATATTACATAAATTAATAATAGGATCCATAAAAGATGAATATATATACCAAAAATTATTACAGAATTTGAAAAAGAAGAAATTAGGTTATATTGTAAGGAAAATTATGAACCGTTATAAAAAAATTAATTCTTAATAATATACTCAACTAAATATGGAAAAACTTGAAAGAAAACTTGAAAATGATCTTAATACTATGTATAAATTACACAACAAATAGATAATGTACTATTAATACCACAAAGGGAAGATGCACCAAGAAAGTTAACAAATAGTCACGAAAAACAAATATTAAAAATAAGATAAGAAAAAATTAAAATAAAAGCAAAATACTTCAAAAATCTAAAGGAACTCCCAAATACAGAACATGCTAAATCCAGATTTGATAAAATAATAAAAGAATCAAAAGATAGTGAATGTAAATTATTTTATTTTACCCAATCAAAAATAAAACCTGAAAAATAAGAAATCCAAAATATTAACCAACTTTCTTCATAAAAAAATGAATGAACATATGAATGAACTTAAACAACTAATAAAAATATTAATAACCGATGTCCAAGATTAAGAATTGAAATAAAAGAAGTAAGAAATGATATAAATATATTAACAATTGAAATTAGGGAATTAAAAGAAAACAATAAAAGTAATGATAAAAAAAATTTATAGAAAAAGAGATGTCGAGAATTGGGAAGAAACACATAGAACAAAAAAATTTGGTAATGAAAGTAGGAAGTATGGATGATGAATTTAGAAAAAATATTATACCTAAAATATTAGAAGAAGAAGAAAATTTCAAAAAATCACTAAAAAAAAGAAAAATTGAAGAAAATTAATAAAGATGAATGAGGAATTAGATTTATTAATAGAAAACTTTGACCAACTTAGTTTAGAAAATATAAGTGAATACCAAGTCCTAATGAATACTGGAAGAAGACCTACTCCACCAGAAACCTCTAACCAACCTGAAAAATTTGATCAAAATGAAAGTTATGCACCTATATATAATAAACTATATAAACAGTTCTATGATAAGGTAAGAGATAGACAACCACCTAAAGGAAGTAAATATAAAGATAGATTTGAACTAAATGATAATTATGATAAACCAATTAATCATGGAGGAACAAAATTAGATCTAAATTATGATATAGATACCAAAAAAGCCTTATTAACTTGGGCAGATTCAATAACATTATTCTTTTTATATAACAAAGATGATACATGAAAAAATACAGAAAGAAGAATAGAATTCTTATTAGCATCTTTTAAACGAAATGTTAGAAATTAGTGAGAATAAGTAAATAATGATACGAAATCATTAATAAAAAGAAATTTACAAACAGGTACAGAAGAAAGCAGCAGTGGACCCAGAAGGGACAACATACCAACCGATAAAAAAGGAGATGCTCTTTCAGAAACATCAAATAAAAAAGTGATGATACGAGCAAATAAAAATAATTCTAAAACAATCAGTATCATAGACCAAGATGATATGGCTCCTTTGGACCCAAACAAAGAAAAATATGCCAAAATAATCCAAATAGTCTATGAAATGAAGATCAGAGATTCATACTTCATCTCTCCGGGACATAATGTCTATCCTAGAGTCACAGCTACGGAAAGAGGTGATCCTGTTTTCATAAAAACAATTGCAGACTATGAATTCTTGGATTTGATATATCCACGAAAAAATTTCTATTTGACGAAATGTTCATACAAGAAATATCCAAATTCTCTAGAGGACGAATGGTATAATTCAAATTTTACTTAATAAGTCCAAAATTTGATGGAGTTGTTTACTATATGGTTGAACATATAATATCAATCGGATATGTAGCGGTCAACTTCAATATAGATGTCATGAAAAATGAGAAGAGAATGCCAAAGATAACCAAGTCATGGATAAAACATAGAAGAGCACTTGAGATCAATGCCATATACAATATTGCTAAAAATTTATACGATAAAAAATTCTCAGGTCTTTGCCAATATGAAAATTGAATGTTATTAACAAATGAAGGATATGGGAAATTGGAGATGTTGAAAGAATACAGTACAAAATTTGACATACATAAATTTCCCAGATGTCCTACCACCATAAAATAATCTTACCAGCTGCGAGAGTATCCGAGTTGCATGTGAAGATGTATAACCAGAATAATAGAAGGGTGGTGCCCTAAATAAAGAAGATGTGAAATAAAGTTGATTGTCTTATACAATTATAGAGCCACGATAATTTAATGGTTAGACCAATAATAAGACTCCATAATTGGAGAATGATGTAATCAATGATGTAAAAAATCAATAATTTTGCCTCATATGCTTGTATAAATTGAGGCCTTCGGGCCTTCGGCCTAGAGGGAAATAAAAAAACGAATTTGAGTACTCAATTTTATGAGAAAGCCAAAAACCTTCTGTTAAATCTTGTATTAAATATATTAATTCTACCAATTTTGAATAGATCATTCACATTCCCATCCTCTCAAATGGAAATGAGTTTCTAAACCACTTTTCTCATAGATTTTTGAAAGATTAAGAGAAAGAATTTATCAAATAAAAAAGTGATGATACGAGCAAATAAAAATAATTCTAAAACAATTAGTATCATAGACCAAGATGATATGGCTCCTTTGGACCCAAACGAAGAAAAATATGTCAAAATAGTCCAAATAGTCTATGAAATGAAGATCAGAGATTCATACTTCATCTCTCCGGGACATAATGTCTATCCTAGAGTCACGGCTACGGAAAGAGGTGATCATGTTTTTATAAAAACAATTGCAGACTATGAATTCTTGGATTTGATATATCCACGAAAAAATTTGATAGAATTATCAAAATTTGACGAAATGTTCATACAAGAAATATCCAAATTCTCTAGAGGACGAATGGTATACTTCAAATTTTACTTGATAAGTCCAAAATTTGATGGAGTTGTTTACTATATGTTTGAACATATAATATCAATCGGATATGTAGCGGTCAACTTCAATATAGATGTCATGAAAAATGAGAAGAGAATGCCAAAGATAACCAAGTCATGGATAAAACATAGAAGAGCACTTGAAATCAATGCCATATACAATATTGCTAAAAATTTATACGATAAAAAATTCTCAAGTCTTTGCCAATATGAAAATTGAATGTTATTAACAAATGGAGAATATGGGAAATTGGAGATATTGAAAGAATACAGTACAAAATTTGACATACATAAATTTCCAGGATGTCCTACCACCATAAAATAATCTTACCAGCTGCGAGAATATCCGAGTTGCATGTGAAGATGTATGACCAGAATAATAGAAGGGTGGTGCCCTAAATAAAGAAGATGTGAAATAAAGTTGATTGTCTTATACAATTATAGAGCCACAATAATTTAGTGGTTAGACCAATAATAAGACTCCATAATTGGAGAATGATGTAATCAATGATGTAAAAAATCAATAATTTTGCCTCATATGCTTGTATAAATTGAGGCCTTCGGGCTAGAGGGAAATAAAAAAACGAATTTGAGTACTCAATTTTATGAGAAAGCCAAAAACCTTCTGTTAAATCTTGTATTAAATATATTAATTCTACCAATTTTGAATAGATCATTCACATTCCCATCCTCTCAAATGGAAATGAGTTTCTAAACCACTTTTCTCATAGATTTTTGAAAGATTAAGAGAAAGAATTATTTCTTACTTTTAACAAAAATAGANCTAGAGGGAAATAAAAAAACGAATTTGAGTACTCAATTTTATGAGAAAGCCAAAAACCTTCTGTTAAATCTTGTATTAAATATATTAATTCTACCAATTTTGAATAGATCATTCACATTCCAATCCTCTCAAATGGAAATGAGTTTCTAAACCACTTTTCTCATAGATTCTTGAAAGATTAAGGGAAAGATTTCTTTCTTACTTTCAACAAAAATAGAGTTTTCCTTATTTATGATCTATAGTTTTAATTCTTAGAAAAAGATACAGTGAGAGCAAAAACTGGAATAGCAAGGATCTCGTGAAGTCAGGAAGCCATTGAAAAGAGTAGTTTGCAGATCCAGAAGCTTAAATGTCACTCTATTCTAAAAATAAAAGCTTAAAATCAAAACTAAAGTAAAACTATTAGTCTTGTTAAATTTGGAAAGAATTTTCCTAAGATCTTAAAAAAATCTTAGGGATTATTGATATTGATGTTTTTTATAATGCATGTTTTATTATCAGTTGATGATTAAAATGTCAGGATATAAAAGGATTAGATAATCTATTAGACAGGATGTTGGAAAAAATAAAAAATATCATAAATCAAAAGGAAAATATGAATATGTTATCCAAATAATATGAGAAACTAAACGAACAACATGATAAATATGTTACAAATTATTCTAATTTGTTAGATCATATAATGATATATTATGATTAGAAATAGGAGAAACATAAGATAAAGATTAATGTTTAAACCTATGGAAAAAAAAAAGGATATATTATACAATTTATAAAAATTCATATCATTAAGGGTAATATAGACTTTTCAATAAAAAAAATTAAAAGGCTTAGTTAACCAGGCTAAATTGAAAAATCTCCCCCTAAAATGTCCCAAATATAATTTTTTTTTTTAATAACCGTGGATGTTCGAGCCAACTTGCACGCACCTCGACTAATTCCACGGGACCCTGAAGTTTACAGCCAGGTACTCACCTCAGTGGCCCTGAGAGGATTCAAACTGGTGACCATTGGGGAGCAAACCCAAAACCTGACCAATTGACCAAATATAAAAATTATAACCAAGATATCATAGTATTAAGAAATTTTAAGTCCTTAAAAATACTATTATCTCATCATTTAATTATATATGAGAAAACCTGAATTCCATAAGATATGTAATGTATATATATATAAAAGATTAAGATATAGTTTAACTATTTGATTTTATATCATTCTCATAAATCATAAAATAAGAAAGGAACATATAATAGAATATTTAGAAAATACTAAGAATATTTAAATTTTAATATTGATTTTAGATTTATTTGGTTTTTGTTCGCTAAAAGTAGAACCCCTTTAATAATTGGTATCAGAGTCATAGATGTCATAGAATTAAAAAGATAAATAATTATTAGTTATTAAAAGAAGAAAAAAGATGTTATATATTTTAGAACCTATTCCTAATAGATTAAAAATAATAACATTAATTATAATTAAAAACCTACCTATAGAAATAAGAGAGCAAATACTAGAAAAATTGATAGTTGAATCAATAAAAGAACAATATATATATAAAAAAAATAATCAAAGAATTTGAAGATGATGAAATTATTTTATATTATAAAGAAAATTATGGATGGATCATCATAGAAATTGGCCTTTATTAAATAAATACTTATCAAAAGATATTAAAATAAAATCAGATAAAAAATTAAGAACTAAGGAAGACATAGTAAGACAAATAACAGGAGATTTTTATAATTGCCTGATCATTTATACTTTTCTAAATTTTTTATAAAAAGTCTATATTACTCATAACGAAATAAATTCTTATATTTTGAAAAATATGTCCTCACTTTTGAACTAGTTTTATCTTATATTTCTTCTATTTTTAATTTTATCATACAAATCTATTATTTGATCTAATAAACTAGCATAGCTTGCAACATTTTATTTATACTTTTCTTCAAGTTTTTTATATTCTTCAGATAATTCATTCATACTTTTTAATTGAGAATCCATACTTCTTATTTTTCCTAGAAATTTTTCTAACAAATTATCTAATCCTTTAATTGTATATCCTGTCATTATATATCGTACGAATATATTCTATTATCAAGTATAAACAAATATTCAAACATCATAATCATATATTCANACCCATAAGAGATTCATAAAGAGTCCATACAAGGCGAGGTCAGATTCAATGTTTTGAGCATTTTCAAAAGAGATAATGATGTATAATACATTAACATATTTAAATTTAGAGAGTAATTTTTTTTATACTTCAATAATGATATTTATTTTGGTTCTGTATTTTGTTGTTTCAACAAATATTCAGTGCTTGTTTGGTAGGGATTTTTGGGGGAAGAATTGATTTTTGAATAGTGATATGATGGGAAATGTGTTGTTGAAAAAGAAGAAAAATTATTGATGTGATGAAAAATATTATTTTATTGAAGAATGTGTGGTTGAAAATAAGAATTGATTTACTGTAGAAAATGAGAATCCCTACCAATCAGGCCCCAAGTCTGGCGAGAAAAGTCTAACAATACACTTATCCAGGGACCATATCCATTAGATCCATCTAATAACTTAAACCAGCGAATTGCATACAAAACGTGAAGAGAAACTCCCAAAGCATATATATATATATTACGAACTAGGCCGAAAAAACAGTTAAACCTTTGATTACTTGGGGTGAGATCATTATCAAGGCATTTTAAGTACAATTCTTTTGCTAGAAAACTAATAACTTAAAAGACGCACTTGGTATTAGAAAGCTAAGTGAAGTGTCCTGAAATTACCTTTAAAGCAAAACAGAAGCCACAATCAAAACGCTAAAGTCGCATATTTTACTAATAGAAATAATTTAAGGCTAAAGTCCTAAGAAAATATAGACAAATTCACTCGTGAATGTGGGTTTTAGACCACAGCTAATAAATTGGGGAATGGTTGCGCATTTTCACCAGAAACAGTAAGTGAAAAATGACTTACCATGTCAAAACAAAGGCTTCTTTCCTTTCAACATTCCTAGCAAATGATCCAGCACCTGACCTCCTCCATCTCTCAAACCAGAATGCATGTACTCATTAGTTATCCATGGCCTAATTCCTGCTATCTGGGAAGCAGTATTCAAGGCCAGCTTAAAGTTAACATACATATCGTCGTAATACACTGCAGCTGCAACTGGCACCTGCATCAAGATATAAGGTCGTAATCAGTGATTTGGAGATACCAGGTATGCAAGTAATGAAAGTACTACATTTTATAATGAAACTTATCAAGCGCCCACCATACCCATGATGGATTGTTTAAGCCCATTCATACTGTATGTTTATTCTCAGGACCGTAGATCAGCCTATTGGACATTCATGCATTTATTTGGTCAACTCAATATTCCTAAAATATATAAATAATATTTAGGGAATCATTTGGTGTCAGAGATGAGAAGAAAAAAGTTGTATTCTTCTCTCCATTAGAGTAAAAACTTGTCAGTTTCTTGCATTGAGGATGAACGATTATAAATAGGCATGCTATGCTCAGTTTCTTATTGCTTGTCTCATTAATATTTCTCTTGAAAGTTCAATAACAGCCCAAGTATTCAAACTTGGCCAAATTTTGTAGAGATGGTAGGGTCAGGAAGATTAATTGTTGGGAACTATCTAAATGATACGGTGAAACAAGGAGAAATCCTAAAGAAAATGTTTGCTGCAGCTATTGAAAGGAATGAGAGAGATTGATGGCATAAACTAGCATCAACTGTAATGAAAAGACCGCGAACCTTGTTACTATTCAGTGAGGCAACGTCATATAGAGGAGGCCAATCTTTCTTCTCTGCCAACAACTGGGCAACTTCTTTAAAAGGCCTCAGAGCATGCATTTCATCAAACATCCATGGAAATATCATCTGCAGAAACAAATGGAGAGGAATGCATGCATATCAAACACAAGCAACGATGTAAAAGAAAATTATAGAAACCTGATTCAACATGCCCAAATACACGAGACTTCAGATAAGAATGCACAAAAAGAATCCAGTACCTAAGTGTCGCAACTTTTTCAATTATTAACATTTGTCTAGAGACATTTCTGTTAAGACAGGCTCAGGTGCATTTCAGCCAAATACTAATAGTTTGTTCTGTTATTTCATCAACTAACATAAAATCCTTAAAAGGGATACCCACAAAAGAGTGTAAATACATCAGTGGCTGGTCACTCTTTTTCTTTTGTTTTGACACTTTCTTTGTAGCTCTGTGAACATCTTTTCGTCCTTACCTCACCAGTAAATAGCACAGGGCGTCCTTCTTTGACAGCTTTTACTGCATCGAATTGGCCACCATTTTCAGTCCTTACTCTGTGAGCAGACCAAAGTGAAGAAGCACCCTTCAATTGACATAAAATCTAGAAGTTAGACAATTGCACGAGAATGGGTACAGTTTCTCATACACATCGTATGAAAACACCTACATATTTACACAATATCTTCTGAATAAAACAAAAATAATAACCACGTGGATTCAACTAGAAAGTCAGCCATCCACATTAATCAGTCTATCCCAGCAAGAAATAGGTTACCTGACAATAAATGGACTCATGCATAAGAGCGTATAGAGGATTTGTATCGAAATCGAACCATTTCTCGTACTGCATGTGTATAAACCAAATGTAAGTAAATTGTGGCACCAATTTATCGATTACCTTGAAATATAAAGGATCCTAAATGAGCAGCAACTAATTTTTCACATAAACAGTGCTTAAAAAACAGAAGACTCGAACAAACAGCTTCACGTGATGTATGTTAATTAGTAGATGTTATAGAATGTGTGGCAAGATTAAGAAGAACATCATAACATTTCAAATTTCAAACCACAACTTCATGTGCTAAAGCCTGAAAGTGTCAATAAATTTATGGAACAGAAGACACAAGTCGAAAAATATATTGAGATTTTGTAATGTTGCTTTTTATTAGCGTAAGGCAATGTAGCATCAGGTGTCAAGCAATATCTTGCGATTTCGTGGTCTTCGTTTCCATGTTGCCAAGATATTTAGAGAGTCATTAAAATAGGCAAGTTCATATGAATATTAGTATTTATATACCAACGAAAAAAGGGTTTAAATCTGTTTAAATCAAATATTTTCAGCAAACTTTGATAAAAGCTGGAATGTGTGGTTGAAAAATCAAATATTAGTATTTATTTTTAGATAAAAATCAAATATTAGTATTTATATACCAAAGAAAAAGGGTTTAAATACCCTATTTGGTTCAGAAAAAAATCAAATATTATTAGCAAACTTTGATAAAAGCTAATGGAATGTCTTGTTGAAAAATTGAGCGTCTCGCAAAATGTGTGGTTAAAAATTAAAATTAATTATTAATTTGACTTAGATTCTAATCAGATTTTTTAGTTGAACCAAACACGGGCTAAATTTGTTTTGAGCAAGACAAATGTTTAACTCACAGCATTCAAAAAATAGTAGCTGATTCTCTTTGGTGCTCCTGGAACTATTACAGGATCCCAGACCCTCTCAAACCTAAAACCAACATAAAAATGAAGTGACTGACAAATTTAAGATCTTAATACATACATACTTCATATTCAAGAAAGAAATGGACTAACATGTAGTGCAAACGCTCAAAGCCAGTGCTAGATCCCAAACCAGACAAACCTAGAAGCTGTAGTCCCCGTGGTGTTAAGACGCCACCAGATGGAAGAGGCACCTGAATGCACAAGAACACACACAGAGCGAAAAGCAAGGGAAGAGCGAGAGAGTTTTTACAAACTTGAATAACCACCAAAGTCAATAGGGATAAAAAAAAATCGCCTTTTAAGGTTAGCTCACCCCGCCTCCTTCAGATTCAGCTAGGTGATTTACCACTTCACGGACAATTTCAATATCTTGAGGAAATCTCTTGTAATACTTCTCATTCTGAAGAACAATCTGCCCAAAGCATGCTCTGTATACAGCATCTGCAATACATCCGATTCCAATTGGAGGAAGTCCACCAGTCAAAAGGACCTGTTTCAGTCCTTGTGGAGCAAAACTCAGGTAAGTAACTGCACAAAACCCCCCATAACTCTGCAGGAGATGAAATCCATCAATGTAACTATTTGGAAGCCGAATTCACTTAATTAATGAAAAATTAAAGTGCTTCATGTCAGATGTTACAAGTGAAATGTGTTATAAACACAATAAAAAGAGGATGAGATTAGCAACTGGATGAAGCATCAGGGAATGCAGATGAGCAGCAAGATTGTCTGACTTTTGTGTCAAAATCAACTAGAAAACATGAAAACGCCCAATGTAAAACACGAGTAAAAGGTGAAGAAGTACAAAACAAATTTACCTGTCCCAGTACTGTCCAAGGTCCAGAATCGATAACGAGACGTTTGCGAATGAATTCAGCATCATTAACTATGCTGTCAGCTCGGAAATGTTTTAAGTAGTTGGCCAAACCTTCGGCTGATTTGAATTGAGACATAGATGATAGAGTTAAGGGTGTTGATAAGCCTGTTCCTCTCTGTGCCATAAACCCACAAAAGATAAGATAGATGCATATATTTCTACATGCTCTTGAACCTCAAAAGTACTTCGAAACAACATGCCTGGTCCATTAGAATAACACGGTATTCCTCGCATGCTTTGCTTATCCATCCACCAGCCTCAGTAGGTCGCATGCACTCAAACCCTGGTCCACCCTGCAAGTACAATAAAAATGGGAGGGACTGTTCTTCCTTTCCCACTGCAATGAATACCATCCAGTAGCAAAGACATAAGAGATCAAAAGAAATGAAATTTGACTAGAGGAAGAAAATCATGCAATCCACAACATGAATAAATTGCAACATTAATTTGATACTAGAACTTTTTTTTTTTAATTCATACGGCAATTTATAGGCAGCATAGTTTTCACAAGCATATCAACATGTTCACATGATAGAGTGCTGCTTTATATGAATCCATAAAAAACCAGGCACCATAAAGAAAATTCTTGTACAGTATATCAATGTTATTCTTGAAGTTATCAAATCCTCAAGTGGTACAAGGTTTACATACACAATCAGTCTATAATGTAATATCGATCAGTCCACTATGACCTGGTATTTGAAATTCTATAATTGGATTCATCTTCGCATCATTGGTTGAAAAAAATAAAATAAATAAACTTATATATAACTGTACAATGAAAATGAACCTACATTTATTCTTAATCAATCCAAACTCGTGATGTTTTCCCTCTTGGACAGAATTAAGGCATGTTCGAAAGTTGTTTATAATCAATTTAAATTAAGAATGGATAGAAATGAGAGGTAGATAAGTGGGTAGTACTTATGAGTCTACGAAATGGGTGGATAAAAAGTGATTTAACATATTATAAACACTATATAAACATTAGCCAAATATGGGCTCAGTCTTTAGGCACCAACTTGCTACAAAAATTGAATGTTGGGACCCCATTGTTAGGAAGAGAAAAAGAAATAAAAATAAGAAAGGAGACGAATAATGCTATGCGTACGTCATCCTTGACATCATCATTGTATTGCCAGGTAAAAAGACTGTTTTGAATTTTAAACTGGCGAATAATGTGTTGTCACGTGACACGACGCAAAAAATAACGTAAAAGACAATGTACATGTAACATGATTGGAGACGAATAAAAACATCTATTCTAATAATTTTATCTTATAGCTTTGTCTTCTAATTCTTCCCCACTTCCTATCTCCCTCTTCTTCTCTTTCTCCCTCTCTTCCCCTTTCTTTCGCCAATTCTAGTTCTTTGTTCATTGCATCCTACACATCCTATGTCATTATGTTTCTAAAATTATATCCATTGGTATACTGATGTACATTTTAACATTAGGGTAAAAACTCCGTAGGACACTGATAAGCCCCCTATACGTTTTACATATTCTAGAAGAGTCAAGCAGGGAGGGAAAACAGAAGCTGTTGGGGAGCATGTACTGGGGGAAAATCTGTTAGAAAAATATCTATAAGTAAAGGAACAGGTGTGGGAAGAAGTTAGGCAATTATTGAGTGGGAAAAGGAGTATAGTCATTATTTTTCTTATCTGTAATTCTCTGCATTTTCAATCAAAGATCTTCTCTTTTCAGTTTGAGTCCTATCAGACACCAACCTTACAAAAAGTGTCACTTTAGTTATCGAACTTTTTTTAGAATAGATGGTCAGCGAATTACAAGTTGTGACACGTCTTTTGTCGAGGAGGTGTGCGACGATGTAACTTATGTGGCTGATGGCCATGGTGACTAAAAATGCCACTTCCACGTGCAAGTCGATTTAGCAGCACTCATTTAAATGTACTAACATAACCCATCAATTTTTTTACTTAACGTAAAGAACAACCTTGCTCCGTTATCATCTACTTTCTAAATTCATTAAATCGACATACAGATAGATACCTAGTTAGTGGCTTAAGTTAAACAACTTCGTAAATTCAGTCACCAACTATGCTAAAAAAATGGTTCCGTGACAAAGTCACGCGTTTTGAAAGTTTGATTACCAACCGTATAAATATTAGTCATTAAATACCAAATCATGAACAATAATCCAGAATCAAAGAAAAAATATCATCTTTAGCAAAAGTAATTAACGAATTACCAGAGACGACCTCACGGGCGAAAACGGAGATCTTAGGGCAAGTACGGTAATCGAGAGAGTAGTCAAGAGGAACAGTAAAGTAATGGTCGCGGAGTCTGAGTTCCGGCACGGAGAACCAATCGCCGGTGACGTGTTCGCTGCGTCCACCGCCGGTGGTGGTTTCAGCCATGGATGTTATTGTAGTGACGGCTCTACTTGAGGCCTGAAAATGGAGAATTTTGCTTAGAGGTAGAGACGGAGATAGTGTAACTGCTCTTGGAGTTGGAGAAAAGAATCTATGGAGATAGATGTGTGGCTTTAGCAATAAAAGGGATGCCCCAAGTGTCCGCATTTTGAAGGAGATGTAGGAATTATTCTGTCGTTGTGGTCTACATGATAAATTAAAGAGTAAAGAAACGTGGTTAATTTCTATTGGTTACTTCTTTTGTTACTATGGCCCTGTTTGGGGGATTCTCCAAATTCTACAGTAAATCAATACTCATTTTCAACTACATATTTTTCAATAAAATAATATTTTTCATCACATCAGTAATTTTTTCTTCTTTTTCAACCACACATTTCCTATCATATCATTATTCAAAATCAATCTTTCCTTTGAAAAAACATGTGTCTGGAGATGAGTTAAAAATTAAGGCCCTATTTGGGAGGGATTAAATTTTTCTACAGTAAATCAATACTCATTTTCAACCACACATTTTTCAATAAAATAATATTTTTCATCACATCAGTAATTTTTTCTTCTTTTTCAACCACACATTTCCTATCATATCATTATTCAAAATCAATCTTTCCCCCAAAAATCCCTCCCAAACAAGCACTATAATCCATTTGAATACAAAGCCCATTTTGGCCAATTGTGTACAGATAATTTACAAAACATTCATTTGCGAATCCAGTTCGTTAACGAATAATGCTATTTGTACGTTATATTGTGTGTATATAATGATATATAGATAGATGACATAAAAGAGAGAGGCAAAAAGGAACATCAGAACATGTGACATGTAGGTAAAAGTCGACGTATTAGTTTATACCCACGTAAGTTGATAGATTGTTGTACATTAATTTTGACAACACATTTCTCAATAAATTGTCAAATTTTTGACACATAAAAAAGTGTCAATTAAGGGCCTGTTTGGTACAGATTCTCATTTTCTACAATAAATCAATTCTCATTTTCAACCACACATTCTTCAATAAAATAATATTTTCCATTACATCAGTATTTTTTTCTTCTTTTTCAACCACATATTTCCTATCATATCACTATTCAAAAATCAATTCTTCTCCCAAAAATTCCTACCAAACACACTTTAAGGTGTGCACTTTGTATGTAAAAGTCGTTTAATAAAAAGAGAAGTGCTGTTTGTACCGGGTCATGGTGACAAACACCCTGACTGGCCCCTCACATTGGGGGGGCCCCACAATTTTTTTTCCCATTTTTTATACATGTGGGGGCCATCATCATGTGAGAGTGTGTCAATTTTTTTGTCAAATTTTTTTTTGTACAAGTAATTTTTTTGTAATAAAAAAAGTTAAAAAGAAAAAGAAAAAAAACTCAATTATTATAATCTTTTCATGTCATTGTAAAATTAATCATCATATCCTAAAATCCGTGTTAGACTCGTGAACATTGTGTAATAAGCATAAACTCGCTCAATCATCAAGAATAGATCAGCGATGCAAAATAGTTCTTAATAGTAGAATTTATTTTTCAATCTTCGTGCATCACGTTTGGTTGAATTGATTTGGACAAATAGATCACGTTAGGCCCCAATTAAAGTTATAATTTATTTTTCTCTTTCTTCTTATCAACTACACATTCTCCAATAAAATAATATTTCACGTAAATTCAAAAAAAAATTCTTCTTTTTTAATCACAATTTTTTCAAAAAAAAAAAATCCAGAATTATAATCTCAGAAATTGTAGTCTACTAGTGGTTGCACCCCTTTTCAAGTGCACACACTTGCGATCCAGATTTCTTAGATGGAAATTTGGGTTTAATTATTTTTCTCTCTTCTAAATATATTATTCCCGCCATTTGGTAGGTTAGCCCCTGCTTGTCACCCATTTTGGAGAAAAAATAAATTTTGAAATAGTGATTGATGGAAGAATGTGTGATTAAAAAATAATGAGAATTTTTGAATTTATGTATAGTATTATTTTATTGATAGAATGTGGTTGAAATGAAGAAAAAAAATGAAAAAGAACGTGAGAAGAAAATGGGCGTCAAAAAGGATTCTATAATTATTTTATGTGCTATATATTTTATATTTTGGAAAAGTTAGAGGACTAAAATGATACATTTATTAAATTCAATTTTATTTAGGTCAAATATTTAAATATTGATGGAGTCATGATAAATATATCAATATTGAGCTCGTTTGATAGCTCGTAATTAATTATGTATAACAGGCTAGAGAAAAAGTTGGTTCGGATAAGTCATTTCCAAGATATTTCAGTTTGAAAAAATTGATGGAAAATTAGTTTTGCAATTTAGGATGTATTTGTCTCCTGGGAGAAAAATAAAGTAATGAATAATATTTTTTGGAGAATATGTGGTTAAAATTTAAAGTGACTTTATTGGTTTGTGTGTAGAATTTTTTATTGGATAAATATGTGATGGAGAATCTTACTGTAGCAAATAATCTTTTGGAACAATGGTTGACAAACGGGGGCTTAATTGAAACCTTGAATGAAAGTATGCTTTGCCACATGTAATGTGTATGGAGTGTTTTATCTTTCTTATTTTGAATTGTATGGGTTAGTACTTAGTAGACAAGTGTAGGTTAAATGGTAGGTAAGGTAGTTTTGCTTTAAAATGATTTATTTACTTTGATTTTGGGATGAAAATGACTTGTTGATTAGATAGGGAAGAATTAAGTGTTGATTAGATAGAATATTGTGATTGAGACTTTTATTTAGGCAAAACACTGCCATTGACAATTTTAATACCTACAAGAATTCATTTTTCCCTTTCGACTCTAATTATCATACAAAAGTTCTTACTATTTACCCTAAAAATAAAATAAATTATAGATACACATATCCGGTGGTAGTAGCAACACGGGCAGAAAATAAAGTTTGGAACTTGAATTTGAATATGCTTTTCAAAAACTGTTTTATCTAATATGGTGGGATTACGAGGTGCAAGTTGTTTATCCCGTTTAATTTATTTATCATGTTGATAAATATTATGCTAATAAAAGCTACGACATAATATGTTATGCTATGATATGTAATAGTCATCCGGTACCAAAGATATGATATATTTGAGCTCTTACCGGTTTCTAAAGATATGATAAGAGGGTATGATATTTTTGACACATAATTTAATATTTTTATTCGAAATTGTACCATTAATTCATGTCCTATTGAGTATTCACATATACTCACCCATTTTCCCCTATCTCATAGGTTAGAACTAGTCGTTGGTTGGTGGGCGATGAGGTGCAATCGTGGTGTCAAGATTTATGGAACTCAATAAAAATAATTCAGTGTAACAAGACATTTTTTTAATTTCAGCAATTTCTTAGTTTTATTTCGTAAGGATTTTTTATTTACAAATTTAAGACATGTTTTATTGAGTTATAAATTTAAAACTATATTATGCTTTATTAGTGAAATATTACGACTGTACAATTCTTTATTATTTGGGTAAGGCAAACGTAGTCGTAGATGCCTTAAGTAGGAAGACATGATCGCAATTAGTAGTTTTACCCACGGTGCAGGAACACTTGATAAATAACTTTGAGAAACTGAGACTAGAAGTCATCACGCCGCCAACTCAGGCTACAACGAGAGCAAAAGCATTTATGATTCAATCTACTCTTGGGGATCGAATAAGAAAACACAAGATAAGGATCCATTCCTACAGAAAATTAAGGCTGACGTTGGTTCAAACAAACGTATAGGGTTTGAAGTATCTATAGATAACGCGCTGACTTTTAGAGGAAGGTTGTGTGTACCTAGAGATGAAAGTATAAGAAACGAGATATTGGAAGAAGCTCATTCCATCCCGTATGCTGCACATCCTGGAAGTACGAAAATATATTGAGATCTTCGAGGTACATTTTTGTGGAGAAATATGAAGAGATGAATTGGTCTGTTCGTAGAGAAATATATTGTCTGTCGGCATGTGAAGGCAGAGCATCAAATGCCATCATGACTGCTGAAATCATTAGATATTCCAAAATGGAAATGGAAACACATAGTGATGGACTTTGTGGTGGATTTTCCGAGATCAGCAATAGGTCACAATGCTATTTGAGTAGTGGTTGATCATTTGACAAAGTCTGCCCACTTTCTGTCAATCAAAATAAATTTTAATATGGAACAACTTTCGTACAATTATATATTAGAGAGATAGTCAGAAGTTCCAGTCACCATTGTTTCATATAGAGACCCGCGATTCACATTGAAATTTTGGAAAAGCTTGGATGAAATTGAAATTTAGCACTACTTATCATCCACAGACAGATGGACAATCGGAAAGAACCATTCAAACTCTTCAAGATATGTTGACGGCATGTGTTTTAGATCTTGGCGGTAGTTTGGAAACACATCTACCGTTAGTTGAGTTTGCTTATAATAATAGCTTTCATGCCACTAGCATGGCTCCATATGAAACTTTTTTATGGTAGGAAGTACAGATCCCCTATCCATTGGGATGAGGTTGGAGAAAATAAAAATTTGGGTCCTAAAATTATTCAACAGACAGTTGAAGCGGTTGATAAGATTAGAGCAAGAATAAAGACAGCACAAAACCGACAGAAAAGTTATGCTCATGGTAGAAGAAAGGATTTGGAGTTTCAAGTGGGTGATAAAGTTTTTTCTGAAAGTAGCATCAATGAAGGGAGTATTGAGATTTAGTAAGAAGGGAAAGTTGATACCACGATATATTGGACCTTTTGAAATTCTTGAAAGGATTGGCGTTGTGGCTTATTGACCTTAACACCTAAACTCGCAGCAGTGGACAATGTGTTTCATATTTCGATGCTTAGAAAATATGTTCACGGTCTCAATCATGTCGTAAGTTACCAAACTTTGGAAGTACAAAAAGACCTATCGTACGAAGAAATCTCGACGATGATTTTGGATAGAAAAGTGCATCAACTTAGAAATAGAGAAGTTTCTCTGGTCAAATGTCATGGCAAAATCATGGGCTAGACAAGTCAACTTGGGAGAAGGAATATGAGCTTAAAATCAAGTATCAAGTACTCTTCGATTAGCCTCGAAAATTACCTTGGCTATAGATATATAGTAGAATTAATTATTCTATGTGCTATATATTTTATATTTTGGAAAAGTTGGAGGACTAAAATTATACATTTATTAAATTCAATTTTATTTGGGCCAAATATTTAAATATTGATAGAGTAATGATAAATATATCAATATTGGGCTCGTTAGATAACTCGTAATTAATTATGTATAATAGGCTCGCGAAAAAGTCAGTTCGGATAAGTCAGCTCCAAGATATTTCAATTTGAAGAAGTTGATGAAAAACTAGTTTTGCAATTTAATTGAAACCTTGAATGAAAATGTGCTTTGCCACGTGTAATGTATATGAAGTGTTTTTATTTTTTTATTTTGAATTGTATGGGTTAGTAGACACGTGAAGGTTAAATGGTAGATAAGGTAGTTTTGTTTTAAAATAATTTATTTGCTTTGATTTTGGGATGTGATAGAGATGACTTATTGATTAGATAATGAAGAATTAATTGTTGATCGTATAGAATATTGTGATTGAGACTTTTATTTAGGCAAAACACAGCAATTGACAATTTTAATGCCTACAAGAATTCATTTTTCTCTTTCGACTCTAAATATAATACAAAAGTTCTTACTGTTTACCCTAAAAATAAAATAAAAAACAGATACGTATATCTGGTGGTAGCAGCAACACATGTAAAAAATAAAGTTTGGAACGTGAATTTGAATTCTGCTTTTCAAAAACTGTTTTATCCAACAAGGTAGGATTACAAGGTACAAGTTGTTTATCCCGTTTAATTTATTTATTATATTGATAAATATTATGCTAATGAAAACTACGATATAATATGTTATGTTATGATATGTAATGGTCATCCAATACCAAAGATATATATTTGAGCTCTTACCGGTTTCTAAAGATATGATATGACGGTATGATATTTTTGACACATGATTTAACATTTTTATTTGGGATTGCACCATTAATTCGTGTCCTATTGAGTATTCACATATACTCACCCATTTTTCCCCATACATCATAGGTTAGAACTAGTCGTTGGTTGGTGGGCGATAAGGTGCAGTCGAGGTGTCAGGATTTATGGAACTCAATAAAAATAATTCGGTGTAACAAGACATTTTTTTTTTAATTTCTGCAATTTCTTAGTTTTATTTCGTAAGGATTTTTATTTACAAATTTAAGACATGTTTTATTGGGTTATAAATTTAAAACTATGTTATGATTTATTAGTGAAGTTAACATTTATCTATTTATTTATCTAATAAATGCAATATGCTTTTTTTTTTTCAGTATTTATTTGGATACGAGTTTTTATCAATTAATTTTTGCCTGTTAACTTTATATATTTATATTGTTAAAGCTAATAGTTTTGATAGCGATTTAAAAATTGAATTTTGAGTCGTTACAGACTCTATAACGATTGTCGCGCCACCCATACCCAAACATTGTCGTGTTGATCATATAATTGTCTCGCTCACGTAGACTGCCTCCCACGACATCCAACAATTCAATGTACTCATATGTTGCACAAACATTGATTTCTCAATGGATTTAGATTCGTGTCATATTCTTTTAGTACTTTAATCTCTTAAACAAACAAAGAAAGAAAAAAAAAATCACGAACATGTGCTCTCCTAGATGGTATATTTATAAGCCTAAAATGTGCTCTTATACCAATCGGTGCAAACAAATTCAAGTGAGAACATTAACATGCGATAAAGAAACCTAATCGCTAAACATCATAAGAATTATCTCCAATTCCATATTCTCAAACCAAATAAAAATAAAATAAAATAACTAAAATGGCATAATTAAATAAAAAAATAAAATGCTAAATAATGATTACATCAAAACACTTGGCAATTCCTTGAAGAACTGCTTGCAATGGTATAATATAGAGTTATATACTTTAATTAATAATTGCACCCTTGGTCCTTAAATTCCTTACAATTATTAAAAGGCAATCCTTCTTGAATGACACTATGTTTTGATCACAGCCCAAAAAATCATGGAATGGTTGTGCACCTCACTTAAAATAAGAAAAAGCGTTTATTCATCGCCCAGAGTGGGGTTTCACTAGAAATAGCAAGTGAAAAATGACTGACCATGTCAAAACAAAGGCTTCTTACCATTCAACATTCCTAGCAAATGATCAAGAACCCGACCGCCTCCGACTCTCAAACCAGAATGCATGTATTCATTAGTTATCCATAGCCTAATTCCTGCTATCTGAGATGCCGTATCCATGGACAGCTTAAAATTAACATACACATCTTCGTAAAACACAGCAGCTGCGACTGGCACCTGTATCAAGATAGAAGATCATGTTGATGATTTGGAAATATAAGTTACAAAAGTAGTAGGGCAATTGTTCAAATTAAACGAATAATCCATATTACCGAGAGCAATTAATCGAAAACGAAAGCAAAAAGAACATGTGATTCATCCTCGAGTACCACTAACAAATTGCAATATATCAAAGGAAAGAATTATAATATTTTTTGGACAACCCATGTATGTTTTCTCTTCACTAAGATATACAAAACAGAGGCTCACCCTAATACCATCTATACAGGAGGCAAATATAAGGACGATCTAACATGTGTGAATTTTTTGAGGTACCCCTATTAACACTTTTAAAAAAATGCGATCGAGGGGAAAGGCGTATAATACTATACACTCGCAAAACCTAATCATACTATTAACACTAGTGGTGATCTCAAAAATAGATTGTATTATTGGACATTTATACGTCATCGTGTAGCCCTACTATCCCTACGAAGTAAAGATTAAGCCTCTGTTTGGAGTAATTAAAAGTCAGATTTTTAGTAGATTTTAATAAAAGTTGATAAAATGCATGTTTGGAAAAGTTGTGGGTCCCATGAAATGTGTGATTAAAATAATTGTTGATTTTGACTCGAATTTTGAGCAAGTTTTTAATCTACACCAAATAGGGGGCCTAAAGAGTTTGTTCGAAGCCTGTTTTGTGCTAGAAAAGTATGAGAAAAAAAACTTGTATTCTTCTGCCCATTATAGTGACAACCTACAATGGCGAGTGAACGTGAGTTAACACCTTTAAATCTGTTTGCTTTTCTCATTTTCTAATTACTTTGCACGTTTTCTAATTACTTCTCTGATTAATTTTACTCTCAGAAGTAGGAATTGTGGTTTAATCCATAACATAACAACCCAAGCATTCATGTTTGGCTAAATTTTGTTATGATGGCAACTGTCACCAAGATTAAATGTAGGAAAATATGCAAATTGAAATGGTTTGCATTGAGTAAAGCATCAACCGTGACGGAAAGAACTCGTACCTTGTTATTATTCAGTGTGGCAATGTCGTAAAAAGGAGGCCAATCTTTCTTCTCTGCCAACAATTGGGCAACTTCTTTAAAAGGCCTCAGGGCAAGTATTTCATCAAACATCCATGGAAATATCATCTGCAGAAACATATGGACAGGAATGCATTACATATCAAACATGTAGTAAAATGTAAAACGAGTTAATGGAAACTGATCATTCTTTTCCTTGTTCTTTATAGCTCTGTGTGCATTGACGCTTACCTCTCCAGTAAATAGCACAGGGCGTCCTTCTTTGACAGCTTTGATTGCGTCGAACAGGTTATCATTTTCAGTTCTTATTTTGTGAGCATAAGAAATCAAAGTTGTTATTTCTGGTTCTATGTTACCGTTGTGTAGTCCTAGTCTTTGGGAATTAGTTAATTTGTTTTTTGGTTGTTCTATTTTTATGGCTGCTGCTGTTATTTCCTTATAGCTATTTTTTACTGATGTATTGCCTATATAAAGGCCATTAGCTGATGAATAACATACTGGTTTTTAGCTAACTCTCTCATTTTGTACTATCTCTATTTTGTAACAGTGGTATCAGAGCCACGTTCAAGAGTGAAAGTGTGTGTAAACACCTGTGTGTGAGTGAAACACCTGAAGTGTGAGTGAAACACCTGAGTGTGAGTGAATCACAAGAGAGTGAAAGAGATAGTGCAGGAGAACCTTCAATTTGCAGCAGCAAAGTACCATGACGTCTGAAAAAGTGGCTGATAATTTTGTTCAACCAGCTATACCTCGCTTTGATGGTCACTACGACCATTGGAGCATGTTGATGGAAAATTTTCTGAGATCAAAGCAATATTGGTCTCTTGTTGAAAATGGCTTTGAAGAACCAGAAAGTGGAGTTGTTCTCACAGATGCACAACAAAAAAAACTTGATGAGCAAAAGCTAACTGATTTAAAGGTGAAGAATTATTTGTTTCAGGCCATAGATCGTTCTATTTTGGAGACTATTCTTGACAAAAGCACTTCTAAAGAGATCTGGGATTCTATGAAAAAGAAATACAAAGGCTCGGCAAAAGTTAAGCGTTCTCAACTTCAGGCTCTTCGCAGAGAATTTGAGACTCTTCAAATGAAGCAAGGAGAGTCAGTGAATGACTATTTTTCAAGAACAATGGCAATTGCAAATAAAATGAGGCTATACGGCGACAAGATGACAGATGTCTCTATAATTGAGAAGATTCTTCGATCAATGACTCCAAATTTTGACTATGTTGTTTGTTCAATTGAAGAGTCAAATGACATAAATGAACTTTCAATTGATGAACTCCAAAGCTCTTTGCAAGTCCATGAGCAAAAGGTGCATCGGAGCTGCAGTACCGTCTCCGACGAACAAGCATTGAAGGCCTCAACCAATAGTGAATCCTCAGGTTCAAGAGGAAGAGGTAGAGGAAGAGGCGGAGGCCGAGGTCGTGGTAGAGGAAGAGGAGGCAGAGGAAACATAGAGGGAGGCAGAGGCACTTCAGACTTCAGCAGAGGCCGTAGCAATCAAAATTTCGACAAATCCAATGTAGAATGCTTCAGATGTCATAACTATGGGCACTACCGTTCTGAATGCTACACCAATCTTCAAAAACATAAAAGAAAGGATGAAGAGCAGTCCAATTTTGCAGAGAAAAGGGAGCAAGAAACACTCTTGATGACATTCCATGTGAAGGAAAATATTGTTGAACCAGATCTGTGGTATCTTGACACAGGTTGCAGCAATCATATGTGTGGCAGTAAGTCATTCTTTTCCCAATTAAATGAAGATTTTCACACTACTGTGAGCTTTGGTGATCACTCTAAAGTAAGTGTTATGGGAAAGGGTGATGTTAAAATCATGACTAATGAGGGTAGTACAGAGACTATCTCAAATGTGTTTTATATCCCTGATTTGAAAAGCAATTTGTTGAGCATGGGACAGCTGCAGGAGAAAGGATATGTGGCTACAATCAGAGACGGTGCTTGTGAGATTTATGATCCCAATAGAGGCCTAACAATCGCCCATGTGAAGATGACTCCAAACAGATTATTTCCGCTGCGAATTAAGAGCATTCAGACCTGCTTTATGACAAAGATGGACGATCTAACATGGCTTTGGCATTTTCGTTATGGCCATCTAAACTTCAATGGATTGAGAACTCTTTCTCAAAAGAACATGGTAATTGGCCTACCTCAGATCGTTCCTCCCACCAAAATATGCGAAGAATGTGTTGTTGGCAAACAACATCGTGAAAAATTCCCAAAAGGAAAGGCATGGAGAGCTCAAAGACCATTGGAGTTGATTCATTCAGATATCTGCGGTCCTATCAAACCTACATCAAATGGCAAAAAGAAATACTTTATTTCTTTCACTGATGATTATTGTCGAAAAACATGGGTTTATTTTTTGCAGGAAAAATCTGAAGCCTTAACAGCATTTAAAAGCTTTAAAGCTCAAGTGGAGAATGAAGCTGGAATGACCATTAAAATTCTCCGCACTGATCGTGGTGGTGAATACATGTCTCGGGATTTCTCTAAATTCTGTGACGAGTATGGAATTCAGAGGCAATTAACAGCAGCCTATACACCCCAACAAAATGGTGTATCGGAGAGAAAAAACCGAACGATCCTGAACATGATGAGGAGTATGGTGGCAAATGAGAGAATTCCAAAGCGGTTCTGGCCAGAAGCAGTGAATTGGAGTATTCATATTTTGAATCGGTGTCCTACATTTGCCGTTCAAAATATGACACCAGAAGAAAGCTGGAGTGGACGAAAGCCAGCTGTTGATTACTTCAAAGTCTTTGGGTGCATTGCATATGTACATATTCCAGATGAGAAAAGGAAGAAGCTGGATGATAAAGGTGAAAAATGTGTCTTTGTTGGGATGAGTGAACAATCCAAAGCTTATAAATTGTTCAATCCTACTACAGAGAAGATTATCATCAGCAGAGATGTAATTTTTGATGAAGAAAACACGTGGAATTGGGCTGAAAAGGGTACTGAACAGCAGCAAATACCAGTGTTTTTTGATG